ACTTCATTAGAAGTATGGAGGCTGGGTTTTAAGGAATTCGTCCCTTCCCATCTTCCGTCAACACATCCAAGAAATATTTAACAACATTTCTACTGTGCTTGGATCTTACTTTGGTATTTAGCTGCTTTGTTACAGACGCTATGAAGAAAGTAGGTTATGACTGCTTTAGTTTTAATCAGCCACATAAAAACATTCATTCATTACCAGATTTGTCAATAGACTTGACTCACATACAAAACTAATTAGACAGACCCAAATAAGAGAGACGAACTACAAGAACTTTCAAATGGATATTAAATTATGTAGCTGTCTGCCATTTAGAAGACTTTAAAAAGTATATTTTCCAGTTTGCACAATTCATCTAATAAAAATATCTATGATCCCCTGTTTATTTTATAAAACTATAAATACCGTGGTCATTTACATTTATTGCCTTTATTGTAAAACACATCTAGAGAATTTGTATGCTTTTTGGTTTAGCTACTTCAATAATTCCTAGATAGCTCATTTGTGTTAGCAGGAGAGATTATTCCACTAATACGATTTAAATTAATCTATTGCAAAAGTACTGCCTTGCATTTGCCAAAAACCTGACCAGCAATGCATTCATTTTATCCACGTACAACTCACTGCACTTTCAAGTTGCACCAAGCTCCCTTAGCACTAAACAGCTTAATTTACTTTGATTACTTCTGTACTGTGGTTTTTTTTCTGGGACTTTTTTTTTTTTTAAATCATCATACATTTCATCCATTGAAAGTTATATGTGTGCTCTGTCTAAATGCTAGCTTCCCTCTTATTGATCCACTTAAGTGAACCCTAGATCGTTGATATTGAATACATCTTTCCTGATGATCTTTCAGTATGCATTTATTTATCTCAACTACTAAGAATTATATACGGTTCTCAGTTCAGTATCAGCCAATAACTGATCACAGTGTTTCACTCAAATATATACAGGGAGCCTACAGTAAGAACTGCTATTTCAGAGATTTATACAACGCTGACATGACTGGATTCCACACCAAACATGAAATCTCACAACAGTGTCACATGTAATAAGTCAAACTGCTCCCAACATAAATTATATCTTATGGGATTATGGATAAAAAACACAGTATAAAATTGCTTGAGCTGACACTGCAAAAATATGATTCAACTTGCTTTGGAATACAAGGTCTTAGATTGCATCGTTCTTGGAAAAAAACTACTTTAAGTCTGCTTTTTTATTAAATTTACTGAACAGAAAGAGGTAACGTTACCCCTCAAAGTTGGTGATATTTCCTTAACTGAGGCATAATACTAATTACTATAAAGGATCACTGACAAATAGTATTGCGATTATTCAAATTCAAAAGATACTAACATGGTAGGTTTTAAGGGCTGTGTAAATTTTAGACCAATGTATTCTTTTTGACTCAGTCCATACTGCAGCATATTGTCTTAACAGTACTAAGATTAATCCTAGCATTGTGCCGCTTCATCAATCAACAGATTAAGTTCTATATTGGGTCATGAAAGTAATTTCTACTTAACAGTATGATCAGGTTGCCATGTAGAAAAACCAGGAGAAATATTTATACCTTTTCTTTCACTTCAGTACCAATGGAAATTCCTCTAAATCTATTCTCATTTCTCATTTGCATTCTGTTCACGTCTATAATCTCTGAGATGCTGCACTCTTTCTCCTTCAGCATCACTCTTGAGATCAGAAATTTCAGATATTCTCATATCTAATTCCAGGGCCTTGGACAAATACATTCATTTTTTTCCCTCTTCCATCTGTAGAATGTATTTATTCATACTTAAGTGCCTCTTGTATTAATTGTAGTTATTAATAGCTGTATTGATTAATAGTTAATGAATTCAAAGTATTTTTATGGACAAAAAAAATTCTCAACAGTACAAAGAGGAAACCAGAATTTCAATCATATTTTTTAAAATGTGGATTGAAAAATATACTAATGTTCCAAATTGTAATAAACACAAGAAATTTTGAAATAGGCTAAAAAACACAGAAGTCAGTTTTGTTTCTAGACAGTATTTTTTCCATTGTATAATATTTTTTCCATTTTATAATAGAATAATGAAGTAAGTTGGCAAACAAAAAGTTGCTCGAAAATGGGGAAGAAAATCAATCCAAATTCTTTTTAAATGAGTATGTCTTGTCAAAAATATTTATCAGTTCTAGTTTCATCTGTTATAATTAATCTTACATTGTTGGAACATCTTGAAGACAAAACCAGCTTCACTACTGATGTAATGAGGGCCAAGTGTTGAGACAGTCCCAAAGTTACCCAAAGAGCCAACAGACTCACTATCCTATCTACACTGCTTTTAACTTCACCAGCTTCAGGCCCTGTGTACACTGCAAAAAAATGTTTCTTTCACAACAATTATATCACTCTTAGAAACAAGTCAACCTGTCAAGTTAGTTCCTTCATGGTCCCCTCGTGTCCTCAGTTTCTGTTAATGGAGAATGATAGCAGGCAGAAAAACAGTGAGCTTTAACCTCTCAGTCTCCCTTTACTATCACATGTGGAAAACACAGAAACATTAACATAACAACTTATAGTCTTCATCTCATTTTACAGCCACTGCTGTCACTGAACATCATGTTCTCTCTGACAGTTTTTGGGGTTTTTTTTAATGTATTTGTCAGATGGACAAAAAAGCCCTCCCAGTAGCCATGGCCACCTACTGTCTTCATTCTCAAGGAATTACTTACAGCTGAGCCAAAGTAAAACATGTGTATCGACCCAGTCTGGACACTTAAAATGTGAGCAGCAAAGCCCTGCAGCTGACTTAATCCAACAGTTAAGTAACATGGTGTGTGAACTGGGGTGGGAGGCAAGTAAAATCTAAACCAGTGCGTTTGAAAGAAAGGGAGCTGGTCCACAAGGGAATACTCTTCACAATACAGAATATACAAAGCAAGACCTTTAAATTTCAAAGACTCCTTGAATGTGACTTTTTTTCTTTCAATAAAAGGTTATCTTTTTCTCCACAGGCAGTTCGTGAAACGACAATTAACATATACTGTCCCAAATCTCCACCTGAAGTGCACAGCATTATTCTGCTGACATTGCTGGCAAAGCCCCTCAGGTCCCGTAAACCAGTCTGTGAGCCCTTCACAGAAGAGCACCAATTTACACCAGCAGAGGCTCCTCTCCAGTGACCTTACAATGATTTATATCAGTTAAATGTCAGAACCCACTAGGGAAAATACAGATGAACAGTCTTGAAAGGACAGCATCAAGAGAAAGTTTTTTCCTTGGGCATGATGGCTAAAGTAACTAGAAGTACTGCTGTTATACTGATTAATACTGTTGAAGAGACACAGGAAAGCTGAAGTACCAATCATCTCATCATTAGAATGCAACATCCAAACAAAGAAACTGGAGAAATCCCAACCTGGGTAACAACTTCTCAGTAATTGTTGCCCTGAGTCTGTGCATGTCTATGTCCGCACTCAGTCCAAGGCTGTGACGGCCTCTGCTACAGACATTTCCCCCAGGGATGTTCTGTGGGTCATATCACCAGCCTACAGATATGAAATGTTCCTCCAGCAAAAAATCATTAGCAGATTGTTACTATTTGCAGAGGATGAGAAAAGTTTTTTTTGTTGTTTTTTTAAATCTTTCAACAACAGAAATACCTGTGGGCTCTCCTTTCAATGCTTTATCAATGCTACAATAAATTAACACATGAAAGCCCTGAACAGGAATTTTAAACAAACAAATATCTCAGGTCAGGTCTCACAAGGCTTTTTGCATCATCTTATTTGTGTTATTTCCGTCTGTAGCTCTATATAAAATGAAAACCTCTCTAGGGAATTAAATATCAAATATTTATATACCCAATAGTTTGCCTACCAAACCTAAGTTCAAAAGGAAAAATACTTTAAATTAGATAAGCCAGTTAGTGTATTTTCACAAAAGTATTGCAGTTTTACGATTTTACCCAGATATTTAATTGGATATAATTTTCTTTTAATAGCTAGTTTGTCCTTCATAACATGTATTTCAAAGGAACTCATAAAAATTAAATATTACACACTAAATTTTAAATACTAAGCACAGATGAAACTCTTATGTATGCCACAGATAAATACAGACATAATTATTTTGTGATAGATTTTATAAGGTATAGTTAAAGATGACTCTTGCAGCCCAGTTCTTAAAATTTTGATAACCATTCATGAACTCTCTGATCTAGTTAGGCATGAAACTTGTTTTTTTACTTTTTCATATTTGAGTAATACTTTCTTGTTAGCTTGAGCCAGTAGGAAAATAAGCAGTACCAGAGTAGCCTGAATGTTAGTTCTTCTGCTTGCTTGTGACTGGTTCCTGAAGAAATATTAAAGAATTAAGGAGGAGCTTACATTTCTAGATTTCTCCCTGCCTTTTCTTCTAATTATGGAATTACCAAACAGCATCTTCAAGTGTTTTACTTTCCTCTAAAACTGTTGCCAATGGTGCATGCATCACTGGGCATCCATACAATACTATCTGGTGGGGTAAGATTCAGCCACTCACCACCTGCCACATCACAATGAAAGCTGAGAAAAAGGAATTGTTCACATGAAGAATTGCCCCTAGTAGACATACCCTGCTCAGTTATCAGTGAAAGGAAGAGAATCCTGCCCTAATAAGCCATCTTTACACACTACTTCAAGCTATTTATTGTAAGTCAGATTAAGCAGTTTCTCTCAGAGCTTTACACAAAAGCTGTCTGCTTCTGCCTTGTCCTCCTGAACTTCAACAATGAAAGAAAGTAAATATGGATTTCTGACACCAAAACCTCAGCTTCTGGCAGTGCAATTAAAGATGGATCCTTCCAGAGAAGGCTCATCAGAAAACTTCTACATGCACTGAGGGCAGCTACTAGAGACACAGGAACAATAACCCAATATATTCAAAAGCAGTCATTTATTTCTTCTCCCTTCCCCACACCCAAATACAAAGTAATAATTAAGGGGTGAAAGTAGAATTACTGACCTCATCAACGTTCTCAAAAGCATTGATCACATCATATGGCAAGCATGAGAGCAGGTCGATCACAAACCAGGTCTTCAAGTAATTCATGCGAATCAGCTTTGGGTCAGAGATCACCTCTCCTGCTGGTCCCACAAACGTGGTGTGGAAATTAAGTACAATGTCTACCAAAAAAATGACATCTACAATGCTGTCCACTACTAGCCATGCCACATTGTTCTGTTTGGTTTTAAAGGAGACATTATAAGGGACCAAAATAGCCGTGTAGAAGGTTAAAATCAAGATGATCCAGTCCCAGGTAGTCTTGAAAACACAATAATGCAAAATTATATGTGGTGGAGTCTTTGGTGCTTCTTGTTTGTACTGTGGGAGAATTTCGGAGCCCAGCTGCAGTACCTATAGTGACAAAGATTTTAGGAGAAAAAAGAAACATTAATTTTTTTTTAATATTAATTTTAACATCGTAGAGTCTTGAGCTCAGTTGATAAAAAGACATGCCCACTAACCTCTTCTAACATTATCAAATTGTAAGTCAGAAAAAGTATTCTGCTGAACAAAAAAACACAGTAGCAACCAAAGATCAGTTTTCTTATTTTCAATGTCATTAATTATTTTTTACTACAACTAATGTGTTGAACCTGCAAGACATGCAGAGAAGAGAATGCACCTTCCACAGTCTGAACAGACTAGACTTATAAATGATGGGAAGGAAGGCAGTTGCAAATCAATCAATACAGCACCTGGACACTGCTTCTAAATGCTATCTTGCTTTACTCTTCACTATACTGTGTCGGAAATCGAGTTCTGTACGACGATCATGAATGTGTAAAGTCTCTGTTCCTGTGTGCTGCACAGGACTGAAGTCCATGAATTATTATTATTAGCTTCAATAAACTCATTTCAACCTTTAACGTTTCAGGGAGAAAAGGTCAATATCTTCCATATCTGATGGTGAACAGTTGAGTTCAAATACAGTTAGGTCTGAATTCAGAAAAGCACTACAGCAAAAGATGATCTGTCAGCAACTTGAGGTTGAGCACATGTTCAAGTGTTCTGCATAATTAAAATCTTTCCCATTCTGCACAGTGGTACAAAAAGAATACAATCATGCTTTTACATTATGCAATACCTATGGAAAACCATGACAATGTCTTAGGAACTAAATTTCCTCATACCTGTTAACAAGAATACACCTGTTTATATCTGTGGTTATACATCAGGGTGGAACCAAGGTGAGTGACCTGACTCAAAAAAAAAAAAAAAAAAAAAAACCTGAACTAGTGATATTTTAAAATAAAATTTATACAGGATGAATTATAGGTAAAAACAGAAAGGAAGTGGAAACTTGAGCAAGCGAGATGTGTTTCTTAGTGCCAGACTCAGAAACTGGGAGAGCATGGTTTCTATTTCTATTTCAGAGCATGGTTCCTTTTTCACATTTATTTACAACAGAGTTCAGAGCAACAGGCTGCCCACTCTGGGAAAAGATCAGACAGCATATCTAGAATAGAAAGGATGTCTTCCATTCATGCTCCTTATCTCAGCTTTGTTAACATCAATTATTTGGACATGGATTTTTATCTGCAGGCTTTCTGGGTACTTCTTATTATTCTTCTTTGTTAACTAGGGGGTTTTTGTTTTGTTTTTTTCTTCTCAGTAGATTAATCCAAAAAAAGACAAAAAGAAAACAACTGGACAAAACAATCTCAGATCAAGTTCCCTGCTGCTCTGAACCTTACATCCTCACATAATCAGTTACTCTTGTGCACCACAGAGGTCAGTCACTGTCAGATCACAGTCCCTTGCACATGTTTAAATGACTATGAGAGCTGAAAGGCAAAAAAACAAGCCTGCTGACCTTAAGCGCATTGTGTTTTCCAGAAGAGAAATAGCATGACCTGCTCAGGAGACCTGCTGGTTAGCACAAGGGCATCAACACTATAAGAAAAAACTGAAAACCTAATGAAGTTTGTTTCACTGAGTTTCTAGAATGACAGCAAGCAGGGGAATAGAACATTTCCCTGTAAAAGTAGGATCCTTGCAGACCAAACCAGGACCCCAACAAGGCCCTTAAAGTATTAAGTGCCATACCACTCCTAAACCTGTTTCACCCAGGTTTGCCACAATAAAAATTGTTGGCTTGTGCTGTGACAAAGCTAAAGTAAGCACAAGACTAAAGAAGTCTCTTCTCTACAGGAGGCAATGGCCAACACAGTTCCCAGAAGTCCCTAGCACTGACTGGAAGATGTTGTGTACTGACCTGGTAATGTGTATGCATGGCATGCATTTCCTACACAGCTTGTTTGCAGGCCCAGCTACAAATGTTTGAAGGTCTTTTCTTGACAAAAGTTCAGGCCTAACATCAGTACTGCAAATACCTCCTGCATTCCCTTTTGAATATTGCAACTGTACCTGGATCAGTTGGAAAGCACTCTGCTACTACTGCTTTCAGCAAGGCTTAGCACAAACAGCAGCTCTCACAGCAGCTCTCACAGCAGATCCCAAGCCTGAAATATGGTCCACTGGCCAATATTCACTCGCTGAAATAATTAATCAGCAAACCAAGCACTTTTCATCATACAGTGACATTCTGCAGATGGCTAACTGGATTTTAGTCCTAACGCCAAGATTTAGCTAGCACGGGAAGATATTTTTCACCCTTTATATATGGAGGGTGAAACGTGATTTCTTCTTTGGTCATCAGATAATTCCTAGCACTATTTGTTTTTTTTTAGCCTAAATACTATTTGAAAAACATCAAGCATTTTGATAACGATTCCACTCAGTACAGGAACTTCAACCATATAACACAGAAAAATGCACTTTATTTTTAGACTGTTTGTTAAATTTACATATCTAAATTCTAGCCTGACAATTGTATAATGCACTCCATTTTGGACACTTCTGGTCTCTTTGCCCTCCAAGAACTTGTGGAAATTTTGCATCCTCCAAGCTGAAGTTATTGGAAAATCTACTAATGTATTGCCATATACCTAAATAATGGGAGCCATGGCGAGAAAAGCCTCTGGCAATAAAGAAGAGGCTAAATTATGGTGTCAGTTATTTTGCTGTAAATCACAAAGAATACCAGTAAATCCAGTGGAACTGAATGGATGTAAAACTTAACTGAATGCAGAGAAAAACAGACGTCTCATTTCAAATCATTAAGAAAACAAACAACTTCGCTGCTTTAGTGTTTTAAAATGTCATCACCAAGTACAAAGCACTCTCTACTAGCTTGTCTGAAACCCAAAGGGCTACAGTGCAGAAAAATAAAAGCATCAATGTCTTCTTCCACTTTTATTTAGAAAGGAAACAGAATCTAAACTATCTGAATGGTTAGATTTATTAATAAACCTTTTCAATTTCCACTCTCTCCCAATAGCTAATTAAAATGAACATTGAGTCATGGCTTCACCCAGTCTCCAACAGAAGGATGAGCACCAGAAGTTTGCATGCGAATCTAAAAGAAAAGAGCAAGGAGAGAGCAGGAGATGGGCATCAGGGAATGACAAAGAGATGCCAATCACTTGCAAGGTGGAGAAGGCCACTTGCAGCACACCTGGGATATCTCCAGCCTTCTGTTTAGGTAGGTTAGGGTGACAAATTCCAGTCCTGGCTCCCCCTCACTACACCACTAACATATAGACCTTATAAAACCACTCTAATACCTTGCCAGAATTGCCAGAGTTCTCCACTGTCATGCCAAGTGTCATGCATGGTCTATGGGGGTTGGACTCGATGATCTCTGGAGGTCCCTTCCAACCCCTACAATTCTGTGATTCTGTGATTTGCTCACCATCCTTCCAGAGATGCACACCACTGCACGGTTGTCTGGAGAAGAGAGCTATAAACCCACTCTCTATGCTACATAGCAAAGCCAGGAAGATGTAAAGAGAAGTACATGCTGCCCTACACCAAGGTGCTTTTACTGTACTCCAGTCTCCGAGGAGAACAGTGCCAACCTGAAACACAGTATTTGCTGAAGCAGACATGTATTATGACCCACCCACACAAACTAAGTAGATACAAACTGCTTGTAAAGATACTTCTCCTTCTCAAAAAAATAAATATGAGAGCAATTATGAAGAAAATGCATGCAACTGCATAAACCAACACGCCAAGCCTTCACCCATGTGCACTGATCATTTTACTATAATTTCATAAATAACTGAAACAGCTCTGGTTTTGAAAGACTTTTCTCCATTTACATCATTGTACCTCAGTAAAAGAAATACTTATTTCAGAAAGTTATTATTGGAAGTATTCCAATTACTTCTGATTCATCAGCAACTACAGTCTTATTATCCACATTTATTATTTGTGGTAATGATGCATGATGTTTTAATCGCTCTTTAAAGCCAAAGAACACTGTTTCAAGAGCAGAAAGGAAGAATTTCACCATGAGTTTCAAAAGGCTGTGTTTTGGATTTTGTTTTCGTTTTAAACAGAATAAAAGAGATTTATTCTAGACTTGTTTGTAGATTTATTCTAGACTTGTGATGTATTCTAGACTCACTAAAATTGTGATTTTAAAAATGGTGAATATATCACTAATCAGGACTAATAAAAGTGCATTAGCAAGTGTTTAAAATGATTTATTTCTAAGAATGAATAACTTGGGAAAAATCCACATTCATTTTCGACTTAATTTCCCCCCTTTTGTGTTTACAACAGCGTATTTGCTCTCTCTCATTCTCCCTTTTGTTCTTCTAAGCACCTACACAAATTACTCTCCAGCCAAGAGCTAGTTGCTAAATCTCAACTTGATGTATATTTTAATGGCAGTTATAAGTCCCTAGTAAACAAAATTTACAAAAAAATAAAAAAAAAAAAAAAAGCAAAAGGTCCTTTGTTAGACAATGCTGCTAAGCACCATTATAATTTTTCTGCTTGTATGCCTCATAACTATTTCATTTTTTAAATTATGACATGCTCTTGTTTACCCCAAGCTGCCTGGTAAATGTACAGAATGCATCAGCCAATACCACGGGTGCAGAAGACAGTGAACTTTGCAGTGACCAGGAAGGATGGTTCCTACAATTAGTTCTTTAGTAATAAAACCACAGAACCGTTTCAACTACTTTGTACTCACATTGCAAAGTGTGCTCAGAGTTACCTAACATCCCTGCATTAATTGTATAATGAATTTAAACAGTTTTTACATGATTGCTATTAGAAGAGTCAGGCTAGACAAATCTACACTCTGGCAAAAGTCAGAGACTAAAGCTTAACGCTCACTGCTTGTATTATCCACAGCCTGTGGATAAAACAAAGTGGTTTTTCACTAACAGCCTTCTGAAGCCAATTAATCATAAACAATAACAAATTCTAAGCCTTTGTGGCAGGACTGTTATTTGTGTTTGTACAACACCTTGCCCCATTCAGCTACTAGGACACAACCAGATCCTCAGCTTTTGAAAAGCTGAGAGCAACACTAATAATAAATGAAGAGATTTCTTGCACAAACAAGATGGATATGAAATGCCACAGCAAGCAGAAAAAGAAATAGGCTGTACTCTAATTTGAGCTTAAAATTTCAAATAGGCTCCTGCAGAAATGAAGAAAAAAATAAGTCATTCGAAAATACAATGGGGAACAGTTAAGAGATCCTATCTTAAATATTATTAGGAGATCATTCTAGAATAAGAAGCCTGACAGCTCATGTCTTCTAAGGATAAAAAGTGGGCTCCTCTGTGTGATTATACGCACTCTGCTTTTCTCTAGTGTCATTCTATTGACTTAGATGGAATTACAGCTGATGTACAACAAGGCACCTACATTACAGTTGGGGATAATGTTCTTTTTAAAATAATGACTGCAATATTCAGCCAGCAATTAAAGAAACTCATTTCAGACATATAAACTATACACTTGCCCTTTATTATTTGTAATGAATCAACTTACTGTGCCAGTTAGAATACTTGAGAAGTCTTTTTCAAGTTATCAGCCAACAATATGTTTTAGTAACGTAGCCATGTAAGTCTAGAGACTGAGGTTCAAAGAGCCAAACCGAGCTACTTCAGATTTTCTACCTTGCATTCCACTGCCTTAATTTTAGTGTGAAGTAAAACTCAAGAGTAAACATCTGAAGAGAAGGAAGGATTATTTAGTAGTAAGTCTTGACTTATATTATCTGGGAGAACATCCCCACTTTAAGACACTAAAGCAATTTCAGGGTGTGAATGTGATAATCACACAGCATTCCTAAAGTATAGCATCCATGTGAATTTCTGACCCTTCCCTCTGCTAGTGTCATCTCATCTACTTTCTGCAAAAATGCTCATAACAAAAAATCAGTCCTCCATTCTGGAGAGCACCTACATTAAATACAAAATAGGTAAGCTCCTGTTTGTGGAAATTTTATGGTCATGTGATAAAAACGCAGGCTTGGCTAAGGAAATGTCTACTTTGCAAGGAAACTAAAACATAAGTGGAAGAAAACAAACACTGGGAGACTCATGGAGCTCATCAATGGTTTACACCTCCAGCTACAAACAAAGATTAAGAATTACTGTCAAGAATCATGGCTACTGCCATGGCACTGACAGCAACAGGCTGATACAGGAGTACCATGTTACATTGGCCATACTGTCATGAACACCACATCAAGATTTTCCCCAAGCTGTTTTTACACCGGGGAGACCCTGCTGCTGGTCCTGGAGACAACAACAGGAAACTTAGCTCAGTCTCTCCCTCTCGTGGCGAAAGCCCTAAAACCCTCATACTTCATGAAGCCTCTGCATAGGTCTTTTCTCAAAACTTTGAAAGAATCTACTTTAATCACATTTTCACTTTTCTACTATCTGAAGTACTGCTTGTGGCATCTTACAGATGTTCTGCCCATTTTAACCAGTTTTAAAACTCACCAGCATCCCACTAAAAGAAAATTAGACATGAATGGACGCAAAGAACTGTGCCAATGATTCTCTGGAATTTCTTTCTGCACTAGCTGAAGTTTATCTCACCTCAGTTTAAACAAGCAAATAGTCCAAGATCCAACTAGAGTTGAGAGATCTTCAAGAGATCTTGAGAGAAGAAAGAAAAATAAGGAAAACATACTTATTTCAATAATAATGCCATTGTAAGATTTTGCTGAGATATGGAAGCCAAAATTGCATTTAGGTTGCATTAAGTCTTCTGAACACCAGTTTCCATTCCACTACTAAAGTAGACATTTCACAGCACACAATATTCTTTTGAGCTCCTGTACCTGCCACCTGGTTTCAGAATCACAGGGCAAAGGAGACAGATTGAATAGCTCATGCAGAGACAGCATATCCAAAAAGGCTATGTACATTTCTTTACTGTTTCTTGTGAAAAGGAAATGTTACCTCAGCAAGACGTGAGTGCTTGTGAACATTCTCTCCTTTCTGCACGCTTGGAGCAAGCTGCTGCAGCACTCCTCGGCTGCTTGTGAGGGCACGGGTCAAGCGAGCAAACTTTCCCCAACCTCAAAAAAAAAAAAAAAAGCAAAACATGCAACATCATATACATTACAAAACAAAAAATTGGAAGCATACCCCATAACGTTTCTCATTATTAAAAAAAATATAAGTTAAAAGAAAAATAGAGCAAATTGTATTAATGCTGACTACAAGGGAGTATAATTTAACCATGTGTCAGAAAAAAGCAAGTCATAGTAAAGGCAGCAGGTTGGTTAAGTAACAAGTAACAACTGCAGTAGCTTTGTGTTCACGGGTTCTACAAGAGTGCATTACACAAACCACATCTTTTGTAAGGATAAATGTGCACTGTACAATAATCTTCTATTAAACCTAATGGTCAGATTTGGATCTCACAGCCCTGAAGACGACGTCCCAGACTAATAAAGACGTAGGACTAAAATCAGGCACAGTGAAAGCCAGAGCTGCCTGTAACGGAAATGAATCTGGCCTCAGATGCATTAAACATAGTTCTGGAATAAGCAGAGAAAAGCACATAAGTAAGAAAAAGCAGAGCAAATAAAACAAAATCATTAATTTTATCCCCTCTAAACAAAAGAGAAAAATATACAAATAGAATTTCTCAAACTGTAATAAAACATTTAACAAATTCTGGCAGATAGGTCACGCTGAATTTTAATTCAGAATATTTTTTGCAGTAATTCCAAATAGCCCTCAAAATAGAAAGTTTGAATGACAGACACAAGCTAGCTTTGACTATAACCTTTATGAACATACTTTGACATAACAGAAAAAGTCAGGCAGAGTACATGTCTGAGTATTTTTGGCAGTCTGAAAGCAAAGTATCAGTGCATTTGGTCTTGAAAAATGCTAGCACCACCTGCAAACTGTTGAGCAGTCTCACCTCCTACTCCAACTGAGGGTGCTCAGCACTTTGCAGACTCAGTTCTTAATGAAATCTTGCTTCTGGAAAAATTTCCCTTTACATTATAATTTCAGCACCAACAGAAATGACACTATTAGCAGTGACAGTTTTTAAAGACTAGTCTAGAATTTAGGCTGCAAGTTATCCATAACGAGTGAAGGAAAACGAGTAGTTAAAATACTGTCCACTACTTAGAACATTAGCCTTGTTTGACATCTCACCCTGATGTCACCTTCATCCATCACCCTGATGGAACTTGCAAGAACATATTTGTCAACTTGCTGGGTAAGCACAAAAAAATAAATTGTCTGAACTGGCTATTGAACAAAGTCTTCCAGATCAGAGCTGAAAAAAACTGGTCTGTAAGAATACACAAAACAATGCATTTATTGAAGGGAAGAACCAAATTTAGAAATACCTTTCTAGAAACAAGAATAAAAGTGAACATTTTCTTATGCCCCAAAGCACACTTTAAAGGAAGCCTGGCACAATTTAATAAACTTGATCAGAATTAGTAAATTCTTCCTGGGAATATTCAGCAACACGTAGGCTGCGTAATTTCCACCCAGTAAGCTAGATCTTTCCTGGTAAACTCATGTGAGTTTAACTACTATAGAGCAGTATTTCTTGAAGAAACAAATCAACATGACAGAACTTTAACAGAGGTTAATCTGTACCTGTTGCAAAACTGACCCAAGAACACTTTGTTTTTCACAACACATTTCCATATACTGTGGGTTTTCTTTTCTTTTTTTTTTTTTTTAATATAAATAAAGAGCATTCTTTCTCCATTATATGTGAAAAAAACAAACCAAAGTTCACATGCTGAGACATAAATGCCTTACTATGTTTTCATTAAAGACAGTGGAGGTTAAATGAATGGATTAGGTGGGAGTAACCAATCAAAATGACCTATCTTTGGCTGCTATAAATCAAACCAGAGTTTGTGAAGCCAACACAGCTACAGCAATTTACACCGACACAAGCTTTACCTTTCCAAAAAATGCTTATGTTGCACTACTAAATTTTCCTCCTGTTTCACAAGGCCAGGGAGGGACGGGTAGACTTTCACTTGTATAAATTCAGACTGACAAGGTTTGTCTCAAGAGGCTGCCAGCTCCAAACCACGTTTCCAGGCCGGTAGGACCAGCGAGGCAGCGGCGCCAGCCCCATCCTGGCGCTGTCCGTGGTGCTGAAGTCGAGGCCCCGTCACGCCGCTGATCCAGTCGAGCCGACTTCCAGTTTAATGTGAGAGCTGACTCTGCTCCCTAACCAGACATGCAATGTTTTTAAAGTCAACTACAGTAGACAGTCTCTTTTGCTAGCTGATCACCCGCTTTCTTGAAAGAATCAAAATTTGATTAAAAAACAGCAGATGGACGTCGAGTACCCCTCCCCCCCCCCCCCCCCCCCATCGGCAAGTCTTCCAATAAAGGCTATTTCAACAGAAACACTGAGAGGGAGGAAGAAAAATACCTCACTTGAGTTTTCTTGCACAAAAACACTACCAGACAACTCTGCAGTCATGAATGTGGCTATGAATGCTGAGCACTTTCATGCATCTTCCATCTTCCCAAAAGCCATCTACACTTGAAAGGCAGTGATAGAACTTGACATGGTCCTGTCTCAGCATCTCCTATAGGCACCTACTCTGCCCTGCATGTTGCAAATATCATTTGTGGGGGCCTAACTGGTGTTCAAATGAGCTGTTCCACAAACATGAGATCTGTTACCATATACGTCAAACACTGACCTGAAAATGATGTAACCATACAAGCAAGAGACTATTTCAGTAGGCAGGGATGCTTAGGTTAGTGGGTTTCTTTGAACCAGCGCTGACCTGAAAGTGGGAGGTTTGAAATATATTCACTTATACACCCTCTCCACACACTGGGTACACTACATAGGAAGTATAAACATGTCAAAATATTCACTGAATCTCTGTGCCTTTGTCCCAGGTGTATGAATCTCATTTTTAGAACAGGACAATTTCTTGTATTACTTTTTTTTTCTGAGAAAGGAAACATAATTATACTGAATTTACACATTATAACACAGGAGAAAAAACTAAAAGGAGATGGAAAGCCAGTACTAATCCTATCAAATGATAACTTCTCTAACACTTCTCAAAAAGACAGCAGTGCCTATTGAATGTATTAAAATTTGTCCTTTAGAAGACTAAAGACGGATGTAGTCTACAAGTCAGACATTTATCCAATGAAGACAAGTGAAATAATGGACTTCAGGCACAAAACAGAATATAAGCGTTATATTCTATGTGCCACAGAGCTGGTCTCAGGAAGAAAATTGAACTTTTCAAGACAAGGAAAGTTCCAGAGTGGTGTAGGAACAAAATGATGTTAGTCCTGCCTGGAAAGGGGGTCCGGATGATATGGATTACAAGTTCTCTTTCAGCACAAGCAGTTAGTTGTGAGATCCCTACATCCATTGTTTTCTTCTAGAAACAGAGAATGCAAAAATTAAATTGAAATCCAATGACTCTATGCAATTCTCCTGTAGGTATATAGATTCCTCAAACAGGCAAGAACTTACACTGTTTTAGAGAAGACAGCTTAGAATTTGGGAACAAAACATAAAGCTGGATGCCAACCCCTGGTTGCGCTTGCCTGTGCTTCTTTCTTCTCTTTGATTTTAACCTATTTTCATAACTGATTGGTTTCCTTTCTCAGTTCATCCCTGCATGATGTTTTCAGCAAAACAATCAGAATGTCTTCAGCTTCAAAAGGATGAAGAGTCTTCAGGATGACAGACCAACTCCAGTTGTCCCACATTACTTGATGCTATTTCAGAATTTCACTATTTCAGTGTAAAAATCTAAGTAAAAGCTGCTCTTGAAAACATCCAAGATGCCTACAACAAGGACAAAAGCTGCCTCCTGAACATTGTTTTGTGCAGAAATGAGACATCAGAACACACTTTTGGGATATTTCATGCATCAAGACTTCCCAGGCATTAAGCTTCATGTAACAACCCTCTCAAGCAGAAGAAACCAATTTCCTCAATTTTGAGATGAGCATGAGCTGTTGATTCTCTGTGACTCTGTGAATCCACGACACATTTCTTATTTATCTCAGGTAAGTATTTATTACCGACTAATGCCTTCAATTTGATAACGATGAATCACAAATTCAAACATTATTTACTGGGGCAGTTACAGAATCCTTGTTATTAAGTTGCTTCTGTAACTCATGCAGTCCCTGGAGTTCGAACACAAAGGCATAGCCTGCTTGAGAATAAGCTACTTTAACCACAAGTCTATTGATCACATAGAGATGTGTAAATGCAATCAAATCCAAATTCCAGCAGTTATCACCTCCACTGGAACCACCCTTTGCTTTCTTGCATGTCACAGTTCCCTGCTTACATCCATCACACCTCTCTGCAGTCTGAATGCTCCTGCCCTTTAAAATTTCATAAGTAAAATTGTGTTATTTTTCCATCTGGAGTGGAAAAGCATACTGAAGTTCTTAATATACTCACTGCTTCCCTTTCATTTGTTTCCTTTTTAAGACACCAATTTATCTAGATGAAAGTAAAGTATAACAATCAAAATATTTCAAACACTGGCTTTGCTCCTATAAATACATATTTAAAAACAGAACAAAAAATTAGGGAAAAAAAGGTGAAACAAAGGGGAAAAAATAAGAAAGGGAACATCAGGTTGGAGTTTTCCCTGAATAAAATTGAGGCAATCGAAATACTATTTTTTGTGTACCCTGCTTGCAATGCAAAGGACAGCCTACCTGCAAAATGAACTAAAGCTTCTGCAGAGAAGATAACTGATGATGGCTACAAAACACAGGAGGTTACAGTAACTAGGAGACCAACAACCATTTTCCCATATAATTCTGTGATGTTGAACTTCATGCCCCTCCCCACCTCTTTTTTTTTTTTTTTTTGTGGGGGGGGGGGGGGGGAAGAGGAAGAGGGCAGAAAATAAAATTAAAACCAAGAAAATTAGAATCCAAAGCATAATTCCCAAACTTTGATACAGCAGCACAGATGCCTTTATTGCATTCACACATGCAAAACCTGTTTCTTTTTAGCTACTTAGATTGCATGCAGACTCTGTTTACCTGAGCAAGCTACAGTTTTCATAAAGTGATGCATTTCACTTTATATACTGTTCTCAAATGTCGCATACTTGGTGTGTTAAATCTCAAATCAAAACAAGACATATACAGACAAAACACATTGATTGCATATGCTCTGAAATTCTGCTAAGAAAGTGACCTATCGCTTCCCAGGCCAAATTTAGCTATGACATTATTTGATTTTGCCTGCTTATTCAAGTAAATCTATTTTTTCCTGATTTTTTTTTTTTTTTCCCCCAAAGGGGCAACTATACAGGGAAAGATGAAAACAGGGAGTTGTTTTTTTTTTAATTATCAGCAACATCACTGACACACTATTTTTAGAATGAAAAATAGAATGAGCTATGCTTAAAGTGCCTGCATTTAAAATCAAATTTAACTAACGCCCATTGCAGTCATAAAATAAGTGTCTACTGAATTACCTGAAACAACAGAGGCTTACAATTAGAAGCCTACTTTTTTTTTTTTTTAAACAGGACTTCAGAAATGTCGTCTCATCATTCCAGTCTTTGAAATTATTAATCTTAAAAAATGGACTAAGAATGAAAAACAGTACTGGGACCTTCTATCCTTCTCTGAGTCACCTTTGGATAAAAGATGTCTATTAATTTTTGTGTACCAGCCAATCACCTGTCATTAGAGCTCAACACTTTGCACTTACGGAATGACTGTATCATTCTGCTGAAAAATCATGCTTGATATTGCCAGCAGGTGATAGGAAGCTAAGATACACTGTAGCTAGGCAGGCTCAGCTGACAGATAAGCTGCTCTTTAACCATGTTTCTGCACAACATAATGTTTTTCTCCATAAAGACATACAGGCATTGATTTTGAAGAACTCAGACGCTTCATGCTGTGCCACTCTGTAACTACGTAGATAGCAGGTATACTAAAACATCTGCATTTGCAAGCAGGTATTAACTAGTCATAACCACAGCAAACTGATTTCACGTAGAAGCACAGCAAAGGATTAGTTGGTGAAAGTTGACTGAAGGTGAGAATGGGAAAATAATTGATTTAGCAATCAATTCTCAGCTTAAATTAAAAACAATTAATATGTAAATTCTGAGTGTTGCATTTTTAGATCAGGAGCTCATTTGTTTGCCATTATTCTGAAATGTTTCCAGGAGAATTGCTGCCCTTCAAAAACGTGCTACAAATTTCCAATGGAATGTTGTACAGTGTGCAAGGAATGCGTTCTCTGCAAAGCTCAGGTCTGTAAAAGCAATGATTTTTTGAAGCAGCTAAAATAATTTTGCCTTTTTTTAGAACTTCCAACATATTTTTCCCCTTCATGAGTCCCAGAACTCATTGCAGACAATGAATTGTCTAAAATTCCACATCTGTTTTTTTCCCCTCACAGTATCCAGTTGCATAGTGAGTTCTAATATTAATATTGTGTGGTCACACACATAACATTCTGTTTTGCAAATTAGCTCTTCTTTTCCATGGAATTGCTCATCTAGCCATCAAATGACTGACACAACATCACCTACCCAGTACACACACAAAATCCCAAAGTTAGCCTATAGGAAGTAATCTAGAGAAGAGAGGAAGACATAAGGGATAAATTAAGTATTAGAATAGAATGCGTGATTCATCTGTATCACGTTTGATTTGTGTACACAGCAACAGAAAACTCTATTGGCATGAAACTGGTGCAACATCATCAATTTTAGGAGATTCAGATATAAGATGTGCAAGACTTATTTAGTACACAAACTCTTCCATACATACCAACAGCACTTAGGCGACATGTATAGAGCTCTGCCTCAGTGGCCTCTGAACAATAGGTCTTCTATTCTGTCTGTAACACTCAGTACGTATTTAGCAACTTTCCATGGGCCACATGAACAAATTTTGCTTAGCATCTTAACTCTTCTGCAAGTTAGCACACTTGTAAATAGGCTTAATCTTTGTATTACATTGTTTTAGATATGGAACTGCTAAGAATTACCATGATCACTATAAGAACAGCATGATCTCAAGATCCTAGAATGGGAACTTACAGAATAATGATAAAAAATTGTGCTTGCTTTCTTCAGCACACTTCTCTTGAAAACAAAAAAGTTGCAGTACCTCCCTCTTTTGAAAGTGAAGGACAAACTCTTCTCACAAGAGCACAAGTCACCACTACAACTAAGGACCTTCTGCAAAACCAAAGCAAAAAGGCATGGCTACCACTCCTGAACGAAAGCCCTGCTTGCCAACTGAACAAATGAAGTAAGGGCTTTCACTCCCACCAAACAAATGAGAGCCAGCTTTACTGCATCACACTGATTTATCCTTGCTGTCAGTCCTCATTAGGACACGGTGAAGACAACTATGCAGGGAAAAAAAAAATACTGTAGACCCAATTTTTCCAACAAGATACATTTTTTTTTTTAGGTTTATAAAAGCACTGTAAGAAAACAAAAAAAAATAGCATTCAAAGGGGAAAAAAAAATAACCCACATAACTTGGAAGACAGTATGTTTGTTAAGGTTGTACTTCCTTTTTCATGGTAACAGGTGTTTCCACTTTGAGCAACTGCATTTTTAAAGAATAATATTTTGAGAACAAATGTAAATCAATTCACCTTCACAGTAAGTTTCCTGTTTAATGTAATACTACAAATATTATTAAATACTACAAAAATGCAAACAACAGGAGAACTTACGTCTTTATTCACCCCAGAAGACACAAGTCTCTGTAATTCTACATGTGGGTACAAAAGGTCTAATTCTGTCAAGATCTGAATCTGAGTAAAAGTTTATGCCTCTCTCACAGCTGAGTTTGCTTCCAGATCTCTAGGGTGTAAGTTAGCAAAGGGTTAACAGCAAAACACAGCAATTCTACTTCACTCAACCTGACAGCTTGAACCTGATTCAACTTAAGACTATGAGAGTATTTTCACAGATGTGGAAAAAAAAAAAAACCTGGTCCTAAACTTTAATATAAGAATGCTAAGTCATGTCAAGCCAGGCAGAATTAAATTATTCAGATCATTGTCAGACAGGACTAATACCTCCATTTTTGCATACGGTGTCATAAGCAGTTTGTACAGGACCCAATATCCTTCAATTTCCTCTGAGACCAAAGAGGTAGTTAAGCATCATTGTGACTGCCTGAAGGCTGTGCTGGTACGGGGATTAATAATGAATCTTAAACAGACTGCAGCACCTATTTGCAAAGCAAGCTCTGCTTCCTAAAGCACTTGGGGGTCTCATTAGCAATCACCTGTTTCAGTGCAGACCAGAGCCAACTCCCATAGGAAATCAACGCAGCCACTCCTTGCACATAGCCGTGCCTCTACAGGCTTCATGGAAGTTATTTTAACATCCAATCTTTTGGCTTTAAGTCTTTAAGTATTTAAAGGACTTCAGCTTTTTCAAAACCAGGGCAAATGAAAAACAGCAGAATAAATATATAATTATGAAAAAGACAAACCTTTACATGAATCATCCTCAATGGGCTGCTTGAAAGCCGTTATGTCATTGAAAGTGCAAAGAAATAAAACCACTTTATCCTGCTCATTTCGGATTGGAGCAATTTTCACAAAGAACCAGACAGGTGTTCCTGGAAAGAAACATATCGAAAAGTTTGTCAGTGGTAGGCACAACAGTAAGTGTGCTAATTTAGATGTTTACACTTCCAAATCAGCCATCTGTAAATGTTACTTTAATGTTATGGGAGTTTTGCAAACACCTATTAGGAAAAATGACAGAGTAGCTGACAAAAGTGCTAGTTAAATTCTGTGTTCTACCTCTGATTAGCTTTTTTAATCTTCAGGAATTGATTGCCTTCTTCTGGGCCTCATCTATAAAGCCAATACACAAACTTATGCAGCACTTTGAAAGCTGATAAAGTCCCATATACATGCAAGGATGCACACAACACAGTCTCACTGTTTCTGTGCAAGCCTTGCAGACAGGTCAATAGTGCCTAATTCATAGCCATAGTAAGAATCCCAACTCAAGAGCACAGTTGGCTTTAGTTTTCTCTGGGGGAGCACCAGTCCCTAATAAGCATGTCAGCTCTGGGAACTCTGGCCTTGCCTGCAAATTCTCCAATGGAAGGGAAATTCTTTGCAAGCTGCTTTTCAGTTTGACTTTTTTCTCAGCTTGCTCAGAATCACTCCAGTGTGAAGCAAGACTCCAATGAATATAGAAGAGAATAAGCCATCAGGACCAGCCCATGTGCTACGGATGGGACTTAAACTGTATTGCATATAGCTATACTTTTTTAACTACTTCAGTAGAAAAACTCCTGGTGAAAACTACTTGAAAGATTAAAGCCTGCACAACATAGAAAAAAATGTTCCCAGACAATGACCCTTCAGATGCTGCTGTCAATTTTCCTTACTATCTGTCCAGGCAAATCACTTTGAGGAGAGAAAATGCCAATCAGACTTGCCTTTCTATATTTCCAGCGGTTCTGCTGAGATTGCTGAAAACTCAGTAGTGACAGCAGTGAAGTTTCATTTAAGAAGACTGTGTCTACCACTCCCATTTCACAGGATTCAGCACATCAGTGTTAGCAGTATTTGATTGTGTGTGGCCGGCGGGGGGGGGGGGGTCAGAAATAAAAGCAGTTGGCTCCTCTATGTCACAGCATACATTTTTTGAAGGCACCGTTATTTTCTGTGCAGTCTTCAGTCATAAAAAAAATGACTAATTGTATATGTTTTCATTTTGTCCCTATGCCCTCACTGAGGATGAAGAAAAAATTCATCCTTGCTTTTGCAGACCTAAAATTTAAGAGCCAAAAAGAAGATTCAAGCTTGCTTGCTGTGAGTAGCATTTCTCTCAGGTTTCCTTTGCGAGCTACATTTGACAGAAAAATCTGCATAAAAGGAACCAGCACAAAATTTGAAAATCAGCAGGTTTCCCATAGAGGAAAGTCAGAACAAGGAGTGTCACAATTAACTTTTGTTACCTGTGTAGGACAGCCTACTACATACAGGGTTATACTGGAAGAATATTTCTTCTCTTTCTTGATCACAGGACCCTCATCTAGACTAGAGATCAGGTTCTCCTTCACATGAATTACTCAGCGCTTTCACTTGACTACCGCATGGTGTATTTCATGCAACAGTTATAAACAATTAGGGCCACTTGTGTTTCCTGACTGTTAAAGGCTCACAAGGAAACCTGAGGTAGTTCATAACAAGCAAAGGCAATATTTTTCTTACTATGCTAAAATAACAGAGCATGTTGCTACCCAGTGCCTCATCTGGCTGTCTCCCAGCCTCTGTGCTTAGCCATCTTTTCCTGCCACAGAAAGCCAGGACAACTCCAAGACCTATGGACATCTTCCATAAATGAAGCCTGATTCCCCACTGGGCATGTATAGAACAGGCAGTTTCAAAGCCTGGCTGAGCTTCCGTGCCATATGTACAGCCACTTCTATGAACAGCAGGGTATACAATGCAAGGAGCCCTTCATTGAAAGAGCAGAGAAATCCAAATTGAATTACTGAAAGTCGTTTCTGGAGGAAAAAGTATTCAGGGATCAGTATCATGGGGGTTTTATTTGTGTTTGGTTTTGTTATGGCTGTTTGGATTGGGTTTTTTTTGTTTGTTTTTAAGAGCTAGTGCACCTGAACAACCCCCTTCAATACAACAAGAAAACCAAAATGCTGAATGCAAGAAAAGATTCAGCAGCAGAGTAACTATGGCTTCAAAATCATCACTAACTTATTAACGAGCTTAGAAGACAATGCTGCAAAAGGACTCGACAGTAATCTTCAAGACAGTAATGCTCCTTATGCTTTCCATTCTCAGGAGCTACTAAAAAACTACCTATCTCCATTTCTTCTTGCCTATTTCTTCTTCCCAATTTCACATGGACTGTTCTGAAGCTAATTATATCCATACATTGCTTTTAATTTGACACCTTGGTGACCAGTTACTTTCAATTTTACCTGTTTCAACATATTTCACTAACACTGCAGCTTTTTTGATCAGCCAAGATCTCTGTCTACAGCCTGCATGTTCTTGCCTTTTTTTTTTTTTCTTAGGGATGCTTTGCCCTTCCCCAAAACACTTTGCATTGTTTTGTTTTCAAGCCACAGGCATTGTCCCACGGGCTGCTCGTAATACTAACCTTCGGAGGCTAAATTATGCATATAACTTCATCTCTGACTCTCACAGACATATCTACTACTACTCTGCTTTGGAAGATGCTGTAACACATAACTGAAACAGAAAGGATGAAGCTCATGTTCTTATTCCAGCTATTTTTTCAAATACCTTGTTATATGCTCCTTGTGACTACATTACAATACACTGTTGGATGACTCTTCTGACATTATGAGTACAGAAAGAGGAAAGACTTTTCCTGATAACCTGTAGAAGGTTGCTGCAGGGCAAGCTTATAGCAGCAGGGTTCTTACCTTCTGACTCCTTTGAGTCCCACTCCTGTGCAGCATTGTTTCTATCAAAACAGAAAAACAAAACCCTTTTTCTCCAGTACCAAGTATAAATCTTTGCCATCTGCCCACTGGCAATGAGAAAGTGAGAAAGAGTCAGCTCTCCTTGCTAGCTAAAAGTAGAAATTTCTGATGACTGTCATTATCTGGGGAGCCTTATCATTTTCAGGGTGCCACATACAGGATATGTTGCAGGTCAAAATGTAAAAATCAAGGTGGAACACACAGCTTGTGTAAATCATCTTCCAGTTTTGCACCTACATAGTAACACAGCAACAGTAGAAATAAGTAGATGAAAAATTCTGCCAGGCTGTCCTATGTGCTTTTCCAATGCTATTCAGAATTTTTACCCCCAATGTGTTCGACAGCTTGTCAGCCTCATCTGGAAATAGGAGACAAGTAGATATAAAACCACAATCATGAGGTGAGAGCTCACAGGGTTGAGATACACGGGCTTTCTGCAGTGCTCTGCAACTAGGAGCTCATTAATTACTGAACTGGGATCAGAACTGTGGGAACACACTGAGAGGTTTAGCCAAGATGTGGCTGTACTCAGCTTTTTTCCTGCATACTGGTTTAATTATCAAAAGAATTTTACTTTTTTAAACATTAAACAGTTTATTTAACTATTAAACAGGAAAGCTTAAAGTATAAACCAGTTATAAATCAGGTCGGAAACTAGAATTTCAACCTCCTTCAGGCAGCCTTCATACTCTTGGTGTCAAAGCGGATGTCCCTGCTCAGCCAGACAATCACTACTAGCAGGAGGCACAGATCAGGCCATTCTAATGAAAAATGGGATTTTCAGATTCAGTCTGTGTGCTGTGCAGGCAGTGAGAGAAACTGAAGTATGTGTTACAGAGCTCTGATAGCAAAACAAGAGTAACTTCCCCTTATGCCTCCTGTGTGTGTTGATGTACAGCCACTCAGAGACTGTTTACCAGCGTTTCCAACAATACATCTACTTCCATTTACATTTTGTGTTCAGTTCTGGCAAAACCTCTCACTGTAAAGTTCAATGAGAATGCCAATGCACAAACAAAGAAGTAAACACTTGTGAGCCATGTTGGCTTCTGTGAGATTTGGAATCGACAGTGAAAGAATCCAGAGTTTGTCTAGTGGCATAGGACCAATCCTGCTAGAAAAGGAACGTCACTTCAAAGCTTGTAGAAAAGCTGTGAGAACAAATGGTAAGAGATTAAATTCTACAACAAACTTCTGACAGTAGCCTGTAGCACCAGCCTATCTTGTGGTACAAAAGTTACACAGCTAATTCCAGAATTAACTGATACAGCTCTTATTGCCTGAGCACAGGACTTAAGACATTGCCTTGAAGACAAGACTATTTTAAGAGACATGATTCAGGTCCCAGATCTCCTCCAGATTAACACAGTAAATGTCTGCACATCTTACCATTTCCCATCTGTAAGACAAATACAACTCTCACTTCCCTCTCCTCCCTTCCAGTCCTATGTATTTCAACAGTGACATGTTCACCCCCTGCCAGGAACATCAGCATTTAACATGTGATTTGACTTTGAGGTCCTTCAGAAACTCTAGCGTGAAAGTGAATAAGGCATTAAAGGTGTATTCCTGCTGCTCCCTGTGAGCATAATGATAACCCTCCTCTCCTGTTTTCTCTCTTGTCAACCAAAAATAGACCATAACGAAAACCAAAATGATTACGTAAACATGCCCTTGCCCCACATCATAACCCATTTAAACAGGTCAATTTACCACCTGTTTTTCAAAACTACAGAAAGCAAAAATTCAGTTTAAATAAAACTGAAATAGTCACTTTTTCTTTCCATAAAGTAGAACAATGAAATAAAAGAACATTGGTTATTCAGCTGATGCCTTCACGATTGTTACTTCAAGTAAGGGCAAGTCTCCTCAAAGCAGTCCAACCTCTGTAGTACTTTGTGTTTCAACCAAGTGGTTATCAACAACTGCCCTGGACGTAAACAGTCAAGCAGTAGGGAAATGAAAAGGCTAGAAGGATGTGCTGCATCTCCAGCAATTGCTCCATGCAGTGATGTGGACAGCAGAACTTCAGTTACATACACAGCACAAATGACCACTACAGTCACCCCTTTTGGAGTTTCACTTATGCCCAAGATTTTATGAGATTGCTTCCTTCTATCACACATAGACCAAATAGTTTGTCCTATATCTAATTAGCACACAAGTTGTTTAGGAAGAATTTGGGAAGTCACTGTACTCACACAGCTTTTAAATTAGAAGCACAGAGGAGTCTTAGGCATTTGCAAGATTAATAGCAATTCTTTTCATAGACTCTACTTTTTAGTAGAGAGTGTGCACTGAATGAGGCCAAACCAGCTCAGTACATAGAAATTCACCACCCTGTGCCAATAACAGTAGACATTACATTTCCATCACTTTAAAAAAGATACTGTCTTCATGGTTTCTGTACCCGGGGCTGCTATGTTCTGGCATGTAACGCTTCTAACGGTCAGACTCTAATGTGCTAAGACAAAGAAAATCAATTTCAGTCCTCAAATGTGAGGCTTCTATGCAAAGTTACCCTATGACTCTGAAACAAACAGTTTAAAATGTTCAGAGCACACACTGCTGCATGGTGCTGATACGGTTTACCTGTTCCTCAGAGAAATCAAGATCAGATAGTGGTTATAAAGGAGGGTACGACACAGGGAAGTTTGAAATCTTCTTTCCATTTACCCCATGTAAAACATTTAATAATTCTTAATAAAATATAAAGAGTACTATTGGAAAGCTTCATTGCACTGCATATGTTTGAGGTAATGACAGCAGGTCTTGTTTTGTAACACGTTTGAAGTCTCTGAAGTCAATGGAAAACATCAGTTTTATGAATCCAAAATACTTTGGTTTGACCTTCCTGAGGGTAACTGAACTCATGCAGATGGATTTCACAGAAGAGAAGATACAGGCATGCATAACGCTTGACAAGTATGGAGATAGATTTCAGTGGCAGGCTCAGAAGGATACATGCCAGTTTCCAAGGACTCCCTCATTCCTACTTCCGGACCTATGCAGTGATTTAATTCAGCAGTTATATACCAAAAGTATCCATCTGCAGACACTACAGTCTCAGCACACATAATTTTAAATCGTTTAAACCAATATAAGTTATGAGAAACCCTTTCCTAGCAGTAGGCAATCATCCCCAAAGTGAATTTTGCTCTTTATAAATTAGCATGGGTAGAGTTGTTTTGTTGTTTTTCATTCCTACATTTTTATTTTCTACCTCTGCAGAAAGCACTGGTCCCAAAGACAAGCGCAGGCAAAATCTGCTACATCACTATTTTGGGCTTATTTATTATACTTCGACATCTATGAGTGTCCAAGGGTGGGGGGGAGGGAATGTATGTTTAAAAAATTAAATACATAGAAACCCTCAAATCTTCATGTTATTCAATGTATTAAGTATTCAAGCACTCAGAAAACCAGAGAATGAATCCCAGTACAAATAGGGAGCAAGGCCCAGCTTCGGGGATTTTCCTAGGTACATATATTATGAGCCGCTGCTTATCAGAACCAATATGCAATTTGCAAAAGAATTACCTATGGCTCATCCCTTGGATGCTGCTTCCACTGGCCTCACCTTTCTCTAAAAGAAAATCCCTGAGGGAGAAAAAAAAAAGAAAAAAAAAAAAAACCCAAGAGCTGGCTCTGCAGCACCACTGCATCAATGGGAACACCTTTACCCAAACAGAGACCTCCTGAAGTCTGTACGCAGTTCATAGTTTCACAGACTCTCCTGCATAGCTGGAAATTAAGACAAGAGTCCAGTACATTAGCTATGAAATGTTCTTTTTCATCAGCCTGCTCTGCGATTCAAGTCTGTATTCCATTTAGCTCTTAGCCCACTTCTGATGCTCTTCCACTGAAGCATGATTAAATACAGCATAGGGAAGGGAGTTATATTTCAAACAGGCATCACTTCTTCAGAGGCAGGTGGAAGCAAATAAATTTGCACACACGCAAAAATATACTTTAGCACTAATGGCAGCAAGTACATCTAGAAGAAGCCTGCTTTGGCACTGCTTGTAGGAAACAAGTCTAAGTTTAATTTACTGAGACGTTTTTATTTATCAGGCTTAGTGTAAAGAATAACAGCCGAACAAATGACTTTAAAAGTCTCCTGAGAAATTAGACTTTTAAAGTTGTATCAGCTCAAATCAGCTAAGATGTGACTGAGATTAGGTGCAAAACATTGTCTAAAATATCAGCCTGTATCCCTCCTTAGGGTAATTAGTAGAACTCCACTGATTTCATTGAGATTTAGAGTTGTTTTCATTTTCCCATTACATAAACAATACTACCAGCATTGCCGGACACTCACATCTAATCAAACAATGGAACTGAAGCTCTCACATGAAATTACTGTCAATGTATGCATTGTTGTTTTGCTGTCTAGATTAAAGAAAACTTTCACTGTGCCTCCTTCCAGGAATGATCATGAACTGCCACTGACTGCAATGGAATGGCACCAGAGCAACAACGACAAAAATTTGGTGCCTGTTCACCTGCTTGCTACAATTGCCTCCAATTATCCTGAAGGAGCTCTACATTTCTAGGAAGAAATTTGTCTAGAGAATAAAAGCAATCATCACATTTCTGCTAAGTAAATCAAGGGCCTGGCTTATCAAACACAAGGACCCATCAAACCTGCATTGCATCTTAACTTCAAGTTCTCAAAAGAGTGGGGATAATCACTATTGGGCAGAGGAGGAGGACTAGACAGAGACAGGAGACCAGAATAGAGAATATCCACAAATGCAAACATGAAGACAGAAAACTGCATCCTTCCTTTGAATAATACAGGCTGTGTTGATTTTAGAGTGAGCTTCAATGAAACTTGTGGACATACTGTACCTTCCATCATCCTGATGGTATATTTGTTTAGCACAACCATGTAAACATTGGAACTCAGGACAAAAATGTCAAAAATGCTTGTCCTAGGTAGAGGTTAGGCGACTGCAAGAACAACAGAGGCAGCAGTCCGAGCGTTAAATGACTGGAACACAAGACAATATTTTCCATGATGAGATTTTTCTCAGAATAAGCCACAGGGACTTTCATTTTTTTGTATTTCTCAGTCACAGCCCTCTAGTGCTTTTAGGCAGTTTCCCTAACAGTAGTTAAGGTACCTTTAAAGCTACAAATCCAACAAACATATGAGCACTGTGTTTTGTTAAACTCAAAAGTAAGCTCTGTGCTTTTTCCCATGACTGTGACCCTCCATGAGCACAGAAGAACCATTGCAGCCTTGCTTTTTGGCATGTCGCATAATACAACTTCTGCACAGCTGGACTTTGTTCTAGGCTGCCTCTCCTCAGGGGAACTGCACAGCAGGGCAGGAAGCATTCCTCACTCCACAGTTACCTTGCTTTAAATCTGCATGAAAGACAGAGAGGCCCCAGGCTGTACGACAGGCCATATGCTGCAGCAATGACAGAAGAGTAGCTGCAGAGCCTCTTGGTGCCAAATTGCTGTTATCTAAGAGAAACTTCCACACCATCCTAGATCCCAAACCACAGTTTATTTACTTGGCTTTAGATGCACAGAGATAAGCTGCACATGTCCCTGTGGTCACTAACCGAGCTAGGAACTGAAATCATCTTTAAGAAATAGGCAAACATTGGAGGCAGATAACACCAGAAGGCATGAAGCACAAAGCCTCATCCAGACAGCACATGAAGTTTCTCTAGCACAGCAAAGTTGTGCTCCAGTAAGGCCCTGAGCAACAGCATCATGTCAGAGGTCATGATGCTTTGAACAGGCTAAAAAGAAATGAAAAAGACTAGAGAGAAATGAATACAAAAAAAATCTCTTAAAGAGGTTCTTTCTTCCCCCCCTAAAACACTGACAAAAACCAATTCCATGTACTTTGGCACCACCAATTCTAACAAGGACAAATTCTGATATAAAACAAGCAGCTCCACACATCAGTTCCAGCACACAACTATTATCTTTTTAGCTCTTCTTAAGTCCCTGCTCTCTCTCCAAGCTCCAACAGCCAGCACTAGCGGGTCATTGCAACAGGAACAGCAATGGCTACACACATAAATGTAGGATGATCACCTTTTCCCAGAAAGCTGGCCCTTCTAATGAAAAATAAATCAGCATTAAGGTTAACTGTCAAAAAATTGCATCATAGCAGCTCATGTTATGCTTTGTGTTTAGAGCTCCCCATGCCCACCAGTGCAGAATTGATCGAAGCAATCATCATAGCTGTAATGGGAAGAAGCTCTCACAGGATGCTTCTGCAAGGTACCTTTCTTGCACGGTTAGAAGGCAAAATTGTTAAACACAAAATGGAAGTGACAGAACACAGTCTTTTTACTTGACATTTGGTCAATCTGAAGACGTCAGTGTATCTGCACTTCAGGTTACTTTTGGTAAATAAAACTAGCTGTGCCATGACACACTCAGGGGGTAGAGCAACAAATTTTGGGCAAGTAGTTCATCTGCTAACACACAGAGTTACAGACAGACTAAAATTTCTAGCAAGAAAAGAAAAAATAATCATACTATGATTAAGAAGCAGTTTTGTCCAAAACAAAAGACAGTTTCATTGAAAGATATTAGGAAGTAGTCTAGCTTCTAAAACAAAAGACTGGATCTTTTTACTATAAAGCTACATCTAAATCCTGGTTTTGCTACATTAAATTAAAAAAAAAAATTAAAAGCATTCTCTGTAAGAAAAAACATTTGCATAAACCTAGCTTGGGCACTAACATTGCTAATGAAAAGAACGTTGGCATCACACACAAATTGCTCTAAACATCAGAATGAATTAGAGCTTCCTCTGCTTCTACCAGTGGCTCTCATCTCTAATGTTCTCCTCTCTGTCTTGCAGATCTGTCAGCAGAACCAGGGCTTATTTAACCCTACATGAAACACAGTACTCCAGGATGGCAGACTTGCAAATTATGCAATGATTTAAAATAGTTCTACACACCTACATTAATGAACGAACAACTACTTACTGTTCTTCTTGTACATCAGGATTTCAAAGGAATTCATCTCATAGTTCTCAAACGTCTGCCGGACTTTGTCAATTGTGTCTTTGTCTGTCAGCTCTCCATACATAAAACTGCAAAGAAAGCAAGGAATTCAAGTCAGATACCAAACAAAGACACTACACCATTTATTCACAGTGCGAAAAGGACCTATTTAGAAACAGCTCTTCTTTGATTTTATTTCACCTGGAAAGCAAATTTGACAGTAGCAGCCCCAAGAGACAAAAGAGAGAATGGAGATGAACAGACTACTGTTTTCCTCAAGCAACAAGCACAACACTACAAGCTATTTAACAGAAAATAAATCTGTTCTCAAATACCTGCAGGTGCTGCTTTTTTGCATAACTTCTGCTCTGTGATATCCTGATAGCTTGCAAAATCCATCGTTGCTGTACACAATAGGCCAATCCACTATCTGGGCATTGCCCAAGACAAAATTAGTATCTGTTTGAAAGAACACATCAGTTAGACATCAGACAAGACTATGGTTGCATCAGCAGAAATACTCATCCAAACACTCATCCAAACTGCAGTGCCTCCATTCCTGCACAGTTTTTTCCCAGTAGACAACAGGAGTATTCCCTGTTTTAAGTAACTTGTTAGTTTAAGATTTTAAGATAAATTTAATTAATTACTCAAGCAAAGCTGAAGAAGGTGGTTTTACACAAATGAAACTCACAATGTTAAGCAGGTAAAATTCATTCCTTGACTAAGGACAGATTCATTAAGCTGCTTCCCTCTGTGCCACACGTACTGATCCACCATGACACTCAATTTGGATGAGAAGCCTCAAGACAGCCAAAACAGCTTGAGCAGTTATTTCTCATCTGAACACAGACTCAGTGGCTCCTGTCGATACAGCCTTCACTGCTGACCACACAAGTTCTATTACTCCCTGTGTGACATGTATGGCACAGCTCTACAAACAAGACACCAGACAACTAGTTTTAGTACTTACACCAGCAGAAAGATGTTTCTGTTCACTGTACAAGCTAGAATGAGTTTCAACCACTAAGAAAAAAATTGAATGGGATTCAAACTTCCATTCTCATTGGATCTTTGCATGCTATATTTCTATGATTAATAACTCATTTGAACAAAGAATATACTTAATGCCAGGTCCTGGCCTTGTTTCTCTGCTGTTTTGGCTCTTTGGCTCTCAGCTATCTATGTAAACACCAAGACAGAGAGCAGTGCTTATGACAGGACACTGATAGATGGGAGACTCCAGTGGCTCCTTTTCACAGCTTCAAAGACTCCCTGGCTTAGAAGTTAGAGGAAATCTTAGGCAGCTACATGAGATAAGGGCATCCATGTTGAAGGGGAGGCTCTAAGGGAGTCCACTATGCTGTCTCCTTTACAGGATCTAAACACCAGCTGCTTAAATATACACAGCAGTCCTTAATGGTACCTGCAACCAAGAGACACAAACAGGACATTTTACCTATTACTTGCAAAGGCTTTGGTTTCTTTTAACTTCCCGTTTCAAAATTTTTTGTCCTGTTGCAAACTTCAAGTGGGTTTAAATAAAACATTCCTGTAGCTATCTAAATCCATTGCCCAATCCCATGAGCAAGATTAAGTGTATCTTTATACACTCTTTGGAAAGAAATATACCAGTAGTATAACTTCAGGACATTTTAACTGCTTTGTTTCTCAGTCTCTTCTAAATACCATGGTTTTTACTTGGTTCAAGTACTTTGTTCCAGAAACAATACATGTCTTTTACCCTTCCTATGAATAAGTAAGCCAAGTCATTTCTCACTGCTAAAGCAAGTGCTTTTGAGTGTCTATTATAAACAGTGGATTGCACTGTCTTAACATATTTTTATATTTTCATCAGAAAGTACAAAAAGTATGCAAATATGAAATTCAGGTCGCGTTCTGCCCTGATGTGGACTTTGTTATTTCAAGCATTTATTCCTTCTCACCATCTTCCCCTTCTGAAAAGGTAACAGCACCCTTCAGTTCTTCAAGAACTCTTTGAAAAACTTCTATGAACTTTCTTTCCACACTTAAACCTCAACATTTTCTTCAGATAAATAATGTCAGGTTTTTTCACTAAAAGCTATATAGTGAACTTTTCTGATGGCTGTCACTGCTCAGATGTTACTTTTACCTACACCTCCAAAGCACCCATGGTGGATAGTGCTCTTATCTTATCCTCTTTTTACAGGTAAAAGCAAGGCACCAAGCCCACATAGGGATGTAAGCACTGAAAGGCAAGACTGCTACAAGCCCAGCTCTCAATGATCTAAGAGATAGAAGCTCTAGGAGTAGTGCTGGTGATAGAAGTAAGAAACATTAGCACAGCAAACAGCACCCTGCCCAAGCTATGCTATAGAAAGCATCATTTAAAAAAAAAAAAAAAAAAAAAAAAAAAAGGTATATTTTAAAGCTGGGGATTTTCCTCTCTTACTATGCCTAGTAATTCAAACGTAAGCCCAACTCTCGCATACAATACCACAGATTCTTAGCCATTACTACTGGAGCTAAAAAAAATCATATTCTCACTTGCCTACTTCTTGGGTTAATGAAAGCTGATTTTTTTTTTTTTTACCAGAAGAGCTTCCTAAGGATGCTTAAAAAACATGCACATATTTCCCTCCCTCCTGACAGCTTTGTCATTTGGGTGTTTATCCTAGGAGATGTGAATCATAGAATCACTAAGGTTGCAAAACACATCCAAGATCATCCAGTCCAACGTACCACCAATACTTCCCCACTAAACCATGTCCCTCAGTACCACATCTAAATGTTTCACGAACACCTCCAGAGACAGTGACTCAACCACCTCTCCAGGCAGCCCATTCCAGCACATGACCACTTTTTCAGAGAAGAAATTTTTCCTAATATCCAACTTGAGCATCCTCTAAGGAGCTACCCCTGAGCACCATGAAAGCTCAGTTTTCATTTCAGCTCCTGAATGACTTTTCTACTTATCAAGCCACTGCCAACACCCTAGACATACAATGTCTTCAAGTCAGCATGGATTGGTTGTTGTATTTTACACGTCCCTATCAGGCAGCGCTATTAGTGTAGCGAGCCCTCTCATGGAGGTGGGGGTAAAATGCTACATCTGATAATCCAGGCTGGGTTCGGAGATGAGTTATAACCACACTTGTAGATCTTTATGTACTTTCAAAGCTTCAATGGTGAAAACACGAGCATGTCTATCAATTCAAGGAGCAAGTCAGAGGTTTTCAGGATCCCACTGCTCTGTAGGTCTGACTTCTAGCAAGTTCCCACTTCATGCACCTTGACCTATTGTCTACGATACATAGCTTTGCCCCAGTCACACGGAAAGAAAATACTGAAGCTGGACCCATTCCCTGGAGTTAACACCATAACCCTGACTAGGCTTTCAGTTTGTTCCTCCAGCTCCATCAATGAGCTTTTAGTGCTCATCCTCAGTTTGAACTGACACCCAAAAAACGCCCTGCAGAGACCAGCTGTCGGGAACTCTCCATGTAGCTGAAAGCCTCTGGAGACGTTGTTTCTCGCACCACACAGTAAAGGAGGGGTCTCACAAACAAATAAGAAATTCTTTACAGTTGCTCATTCATCTTTTCCAGACCTCTTTAAAGACAAAACAATACAAAGCAGATTCTGTGCCTATGTGGAGAACACACCTGCGTTTCTCCTCAGACAATGGTGTTTCACCTCTTCAAACACTGGAGAGACACAGCATAACTCCCACTTATAACTCCTTTGCATAGTTTATTCTGACAGATAACCCGGAGGTAGAAGGGCTGTTCTCATTGCTATCATTGGCATTCAATTGCACTGACGTCCCTGACAATGTGCTGCTTGGAGACAGCTCATAATCTGTTCAACAATTGTTTCTAACATAAGAAAATATTAAACATCCACTGAGGCAAGTACTGCCTTTCCATATGCAGGGACACAGGGTCCCAGAGGCCAAGAAACAGCTGTGGCTGTGTTGCACAACAAGCACAAGTGATGCTCTGGTGAACTCTTTGAGCACTGCAGAGCAAAACTCTTGAGGACTCACAAATGGGTCAACAAGGGCAGGACAGGGGCTGGGCACAGGAGGACTGCAAAGAAGAAATACACTACCAAATTCTCTTCAAAGACAGGGGATAAAACAGGCAAGTGATAGATGCAGTATTCAAACTATTAAGTGATTGAGGTGCCTCTCTGATAGGACTCAAAGGACTCCCTTACCAGGAAATCGATTTCTAACACAATATCAATTGGGTTAGTGGCATTGGCCAGCCCAAGGAGAAGCTATACGCCTCACTGGCACCGCTTATCGGCTCCAAGAAGAGTTGAGCTAGGGGCTGGAGAGTCTGAGCTCATATGAAGAAGACTTAGAGTCTGGCTTGTGCTGTTTGGCAGAGTCTGAGAAGACACTTAGTAGGCACAGAAATATATAGATATGCAGCACAAAGCATCTCTTGCTGCAGAAACACAAGCAAGAGCTGCCACACCTCAAAGGCAGCACAATTACTGGCAGGAGGAAGGAGGGATGCTCTGAACTCTGGCTACTTTGTGAAAAGCCATACTTCACAACTTCAACCTACATTTCCCCTAGTCAGTTCTGTTCATTGAAGTATATCCCCATATCAGCTTTTACACTCACAAACATCGGAGCTGTTTCGGATTATTACTTTAAACTAGTCACTGCTGCTTTAAAGAACAAGAAAAGCAATTTAACTCCTTCCACTATGTAAGAATGGATTTTGCTCAGTCACAGAAACCAGTGGTTTTCTCTAATCACAAAATACATCATCACAGAAGAATCAGAAAAGGTCCTTCTGAATAAAACAGCTCCTTTACCAACAATGACAGCAAGTCTCCAGAATATCCAGCTTCACCAAAATTGCTACCTACAGAACCGCACTGCTAAGTACATTAATGGAAAGTCCCCATCAGCTCAAACTTCCAACCAACCTGAGAACAAGAAGCATATCACAGATGCAGCTGGTCGAGACTGGCACATTTAGGAGAGGTAAGAGCACAAACCACTACCTCAGAACTGAAAGAAAGGCTTAGTAAAATACTTGGTAAAAGACTGTGGATAGAGCTCCTTAGCTACTGTTCCATTAGCTGGGCATAAAGCAGCTTAGGAGTAAGTACAGGGGACAAGTGAGTTTACAAACAATTGAGTTTACAAACTCATGACTTGCATCACAAGTAGTATCATTTAGATATGGGAAAGAAAGAAGTTGGTTTCATTTCTGGTAAGGAACCCAATGCATGGAAGTAGGATGTTGTTCATAAGGACACCTCTCAAAATTACTACAGTCGTACAGCTCATACGGTAGTTTCACTTCAACAACTTGCAAAGGATAGGTATGTACTAACCGTCCTTGGTTAAACTGTTCAAATGTAACTTCCGAGATCAAAATACAGCTCCAAAATGTTACAAGTAAGTCAAACTGTTTCTTTGCACTTGTATGATTCAAGGCTCACACCTC